GTAGGGTCAGCATTCACGCTTAGCCATTGACTTATTTTTCAGCTGCTCGGCATGGTCATCACCGTTTCGGTTACGGGATGTGCGGTTTCAGCGCAGCGATACCGGATCGAGGCGATGACCGATTGTACATCGGTGCCCCCGGTGCATATTATTGGCAGGGAACGATATTTGCTCAAAGTGTTCGCAATAAACTAGACAGGCCGAACACACATGATGGGCCAGCGCATCATGACAATTACAATCTTGGTCAGTACCAACCTTTCCTTCTGTGAAAAATCATGAAAATGTGATACCAAAGGATAGTAAATGGCCCTGGACCGTTGGTATGCTTATCCTTCGATATTATTGGGTTAACGATGTTTCTGGCCAGGTTCAGAAGTTTTTTTAAAATTCACTTTAAATTTACTTTAGACTTTGGTTTAGACCTCGATGTTCATCTACTTTTTTTTGATAATTTTCAGGATATTCAATAGCAGTAGGTGATTTTGATGGTGATGGTTTGGATGACGTTGTTGCTGGAGTACCACGTGGCAATGATCTTGTTGGAGCTGTAAGTGTTTATATCTTGGAGCTGTTGGAGTTTTTTTTTTTTTTATAACTATAAGTCCTGATAAAGTATTGTTAAATTTTACAACTTGACGGCCGCTTTGCATGTAATCACGAGGGTAAGAGCGCTCATTTTTGGGATTGGTGCCCATACGTACACGTAGGTAAAGTTCCCAAAGTTTCAGCCCCGCAGCTTTTGTAGGTCTCAAGATGAAAAATCGGTCAGTGCCAGCTGTCAACGATCAAAGAAAACTGTGCAACAACGCACACTCATGAACATGAATTGAACCTCTTGGTTTTTTTCAGTAAATAAGACGTTGACTGCCTCGTATCCCATATTCTTAAAACATTTTGATTCGGCTGCAATTCACAATCTGGTTCTCCATCTGGCGGTTCAACTTTTTCAGTTGCTGCATTGCATGGTACTCATCCTGCTGGCATTCCTCACTTCTGTTATCGTAATTAAGTGTTCCATCTGATTTCGTCACTCCTCCTTCCTAGTTTTATTATGCGTTTTTGCAAATATTGGGAAGAGGCTGTGTGTTTGTGTAGGTATGTGTGTGTATGTTTGTGTGTCTGTGTGTTCGCACTTTTTGTTACCCACTTTCAACTCGAGGACCAGGAAAGCTAGAATGCTGAAACTTTGGGAGTATGTGTCCTTACCATGCACGACTCCCCCTTTTTAATATCGTCCCCCATGATCCCTGGGTGCCGAGTACGGACGCTTTGAAAAAATACGTAAATTTTTTTGGCAAGAAAACGATCTCGGGAACCAGACAAGGTAAGGGACTGAAATTTTGTAGGGATATTCCCTATGCGTGTGTGAGCTAAAGATTTTAAATTCAGCTCGCAGTTATGCGTAGTACTCACGTAAGGGCATATGAAATTCTTGGACGGAAAATTGTTAACTCGGGAAATCAGGGAAGCTAGAAGGCTGAAATTTCGGCGGAATGTCCCCTGTCCAAGTACA